AACAAGCAAACGAGCCCTTAGTCTCCCCTTCTCGATCCCCCACATAAGAGAGCGGATCTGGTGACTAAGGGGGGTCCTTAGTCACTTGACTAAGCCCTTCCTAGCCATTAGATCTGGACACTTCAATCCAATGGTTAAAAAGTGGAAAGGGCTATTTAATTAATGACAGGGGTAGTTTGGGTATTATGGAAAATTACGAAGTATACAAACCGGATTTACAATCAGTACAAACCATACAAACATACGAACAGTACAAACTAGAGCGACAAAACATACAAACAGATTTACAAACATTACAAATGTATTACAAACAATACAAACTAGACCGACAAACAATACAAACCATACAAAAAGAAAAAACAACCGGGTTGACTTTCAAGGCTCCATCCCTATATAGAGGGGCTCCTTCCCAAAGTCAACCCGGGTGTTTTTTAGACATACAAACAGTACGAACATGGTGGACAAAAATGACAAACTAGACCGACAATCCATACGAACGGGAAAAAACACCCGGGTTGACTTTGGAGGCTCCATCCCTATATAGAGGGACTCCTTCCCAAAGTCAACCCGGGTGTTTTTTAGACATAAAAAACATTACGAACATGATGCACAAAAATGACAAAGTTTACAAACATGGTGCACAAAAATAACAAAGTTTACAAACATTACAAAAAAAACCGACAAACATTACAAAATAACAAAGCATACAAACATTACAAAATATGTCAACAAACATCACAAAATTAGCACGGTCGCCGGGAAATTCTTCTCCGGCGACGATGTTCGCCGGAAAAAAATCCCGACCAGAAAATATCTCTCTCTCCCCCCCTCTCCCCCCCTCTCTCTCTCCCTCCCTCTCCCTCTCCCTCTCTCTCTCTCTCTCCCTGGAATAATGGTATGGGCGCACAGGAACTCTCTTGGGGAAATAATGGCGCCCAGTTGCCCATTCCCTGCCCGCGCAATTATCGGACCGGAGGCGGGAGGCGACGGGGACGGACGGCCGGCACTGTTTTTTTTTTATTTCTTTTATAATTAAAAAGTAAAAATAAACATGCAATTACTACATTGCCCCTTCATTAAATTGGATTAATAGGAGCTCTTGGATTTTAATGAGGTGCAAGGGTGGAGATTCACTTAGCCATGTGACTAAGGGAACCCCCTTAATAATCACCAGATCTTAGCCCCCCACATAAGCCATGCTCCTGTCGCACTTTAATTGAGGTTGCCATGCCATGCTGTTGTAATATTATAAGCTTAGAAAATATCAGTACAATGATACACATAAAAGAGATCATCAGTGCAATGATACACAAAAAGGCTGAAAATTAATTCAAACACTCATGTAACCTCGTCGGCCGGCCACTCCACAATTAGTGGGTTAGTTTTAGTTTAATAAAAACTTTGGACTATAATCATGAAAATTATAACTAACCCAAAAAGACCGTTACTTTAAAAAATGATTATCAACCCAAAAAAAGAACCGCTGATTTTCTTTTCTTGGTCTCGGTTCTCCTACGTACGTTTTTGGACTTGGTTCTGTCTCTATATATACATGGCGCCGTTTACTTACAGAAAGCTAGCCAGCTAGCTGGAGCTTTTTACAGAGTAAGAAATCGATGACTAGCCATCAGAAAGTGAAGGGAAGGCGAAAATACAATACAGCAAGAAGACACGAACCTTACCCAGGAATAGACTTTTTGACTAGATAGTAAACACAAATCGTAGGCCAAATACAACTTCGGCGTTAAATATTAGGGCAATGTCTATTTTTTACCCAAACCTTTTTCAGATTCTTTTATTTTAACCAAACCTATAGAAATTCTATTTATTATCCAAACGTATTATAATTTATCAAAGTCTGGGCATTCATTCTGTTAACGTTACTTATTTCGTCCACGTGAGAGGTGGGATTTTGTTTTGTTTTTTGATAATCTTTTTATTAAAAATAGTAAATGATGGTATTCTGACCGCCACGTAGGAAGTCAACTCATTATGGTCATACTTAGTCAGCATTACTAACAGAAAAGTTGACGGAGAGTTAACGTTTGGATAATTTTTAGGAATTCAATAGGTTTGGTTAAAATAAAAGAGTCTGAAAAAGGTTTGGGTAAAAAATAGACATTGCCCTAAATATTACAACACAGTTTACTTTTCCAGACAAAAGGGAGAAAAAGACGATATGTACTAGCTAGTGCATGCATGTCAGTGTCTTCTAGAAAGTGAATAAAAATATCAAAAGTTGTATCGCCGGTCGATGTAACATGAAGGCGACCGAGCACAAACCATATACAAACATGGATACCAAATCATGTTTGGCAACTTCCTTAATTATTATTGGATATCTCACTCATATTATAAAGTTAGGTGTAGTTTAAAAGAGGTTATAATTCATTTTCAATATTTGATCTGAAGTTCAAAGAGATGTATGTGTATGAATTGAGGGTGATATTAGTGAGTGACGGGATAATATGACATGTATCAATCAACCCCCTAATAGTTTCGAGTTGATGGAAGAGGTAGGTCAAGATAAGATCGTACATCATTTGCTTACATGCCCCTCAAAATGACAAGCAACACATGAATCTATTTGCATACCATACATTGAAGACAATTATTAGTTTAAAGGGTCGTCGAAATTCAGATACACGAGACATGTCGGTATAAGGCTCTAACACCTCATCGAAAAATTAATAGCTCGTTGCAATAAGTCGAAGTATTTGGAGGGACTCGAAATATTATCTTATATCATCCCTTACAACAGGATGTGTATCCACCATCATGGTATATAAATTTGTGTTAATTTCGATGAAGGATCTCCTCTTGTCATAAAGAAACTTCATGATGATGGGAATTATATATTGGAAACCACCAAATATTATGCCTAGGATGTGATTTGAAGTGACGACACTCATGTAGGTTTGTTGAGTAAATATGTGTCTTCCGGTTCAAGTCACATTCTAAGTGAGATTTCGTACCAAATAAATGAAGTTAGGCTAGCTATGTGGTCTGAATTTTCACCGTGAAATTGTGTGTTAGGTTTACGTACAATCATATATATATATATATTGGGGTTTCGTCACTAATTATTGTTGCAGTTTTTGGATTTGGGTGTGAAGGAAGAAAATCTATATATATCAGATCAATATTATGTTGTCAAGTCAATATTACCAACAAAATTACTAACTGGAACTCTGGAAGTTAACATTTGACTAATTCTTAGTATTTCGATAAGTTTGGATAATATAAAAAAAATTGAATAAAAAATAGACATTACCCAATTAGTTACTCACATAGTGGACATGTGTTTTTGTCTGTCAAACAACAACTCTTTTTTTTTTTTTTTTTTTTGCGAAAGGAACGGAAAGCAATTTCTCACAAAATCATCACTTCGCGATTTGATTATGATATATATAATCCGTGGAGTAGATGATGTGCAAAACTCTTTGGAGTGGCTGTTAATCATTCTTTGGTGCCATATGTACTAGCAAATAGGGATGCAAATGAGTCGAATTTTAACAGCTATCCTCAAACATGTAACTCATCCGTTCAGTGCACCATCCAAATTACTCAATCAAATATACGTGTTGGACATTGGAAGAGTGCAAATCCTACGTACCCAAGAGATATTCTTGTGTTGGCAGTGATGAATACACAATTTTCAAATTCTTATAGTTTAAAAATTAACATCTACGGTGACATGAAATAGATGAGAAATAGGAATTCAAAGATAAATTAGTGGTACAAGTTTTGCTTAAATCACACAATTTCTGTACGAGTACACAATTCGGTCCGGGTCAATATTAACCAAACAACCATTACCATACCACCAAATGTTATATCGAACTCGTACTCGATTAACACGATTAATTATTATCTTCATGACTGAGTAGCGTCAAATAGAATACTCGTGAATATGATTGGGTTGCCACCCTACCGTATATAAGAAGATGACCGGCCAGGTATCCCCCAAACTCATCCACCTCGGTTTATTTTCAAAAAAGTTTCCTACCTAACAGAACAGTATGACTAAATAGAACTAACAAATTAGGTAGACACTGTTAGTAAATGATATAAAATTCATAATTAAACATTTCCCAAAAATTCAAGTTATTCAAACTAATTAATTCTTGTTATGCTACCAGAGTCTTCATTCTTCAATAATCAAGAGGTCTTCCTATTGCAATTTTTTTTCCCCAAGAGTCTTGCATTTGATTTATGACGACCTTCATTTGTTATACACATGATATTCGAACATGTGCAAATTTCAAATTCAAAGAATTGAGTTTCATTGGATGTGACATGCTAGTAAATGATATAGAATTCATAATTAAACATCTAAAAAAACCTGAATATCGGAATCAACTGATTTTTATAGAGCCAACAAATATTGAAGTCGGAGTAAATATTAGGAAGATAAACAAATCAAGAAAATGAAGGACCAAGAAGAATCTATGGTAGAGTATAGTTAGTAAATACTCCGTTTAATACACGTATATGTACTCGTACGCACTTTATCCGTTTAAAACTTCCGTATCCGTATTATTGTCAAGCCGTTTCATTTTCCCCCGTTCATTTCATGGTTCCCGTACTAAACACGTATAAAACCCGTATAACACGTTTATTATCCGTATTTTACGAATTAAATTGTTAACTTTACTATTATTTATATATTTATTTATTTTTAAAATGATTAATTTTATATATTTATGACTATTAACGTACTATTAAACGTAATTTTAGCTTAAAGATGAAGTATAATGCCCGTACGTATCTTTTACGTAGCTTTCCCGTACCGTATTTTACTAACTACAGGTAGACCCAAAAGCTGATCTTCTACTATTTATTGTCAATGTTCTGAAACACGTACGGTCATAGAGGACAGTGTATTGGTTTGCCAAATTTTCATTTATAACACAACTATCACGTGTCTATAGTACTTACTTCCTTCCGTAAATATATAAATGCGCCTTAAACATCCCCCTACATTTCCACTTAACAACAACACATTTCAGTGCTAAATCCACCAAAAAGAAGCACTCGCAGTCGCCGCCGGCCGGCCGCCACCATATATGGAGACCAAACAGCACCACGCCGTTCTGTTCCCATTCATGGCGAAAGGCCACATCATCCCACTCCTCCACTTCGCCCACCTCCTCCTCCGCCGCCGCATCCACGTCACTTTCGTCACCACCCCAGGCACCCGCTCCTTCGTCGCCGACCACCTCGCCGGCCACCCTTCCTCCGACGTCGTCACCATCCCTTTCCCGCAGCTGGGAATCCTCCCTCCCGGCGTCGAGAGCTCCGACAAGCTCCCTTCCATGTCCCTCTTCCCTCCATTCGCCATGTCCACCAAGCTCATGCAGCCGGACTTCGACCGCGCCCTCGTAACCCTACACGCTACCCGACCCGTTGACTTCTTGGTATCCGACGGCTTCCTCGGGTGGACGTTGGAGTCCGCCAACAAGTTTGGGATCCCTAGGCTGGTGTTCTACGGGATGAGCTGCTACGCTTCGTGCATTTGTAAGGCCGTCGGAGATGGCAACCTCCTCGCCGGAGCTGATCTCGCCGATGATGACCCCGTCACTTTGCCCGAGTTTCCTTGGATTCAGGTACAGTAAGATATTTACATAGTTAATAATAATTAATATTTGCAATCAACATGCATGGGTCCAAAAAGTTACTGGTAGTTAACTTGATTGGTTATAATCACGCTTTTTTAGTTACTATTTAAAATTATTGTTCTTACTGTAGTTTGTACGTATATACCTTCTTATTATTTCCCATTTGTTTGATTTTTCATATACTAAAGGTTTATAAAACAGTTTATATATGTATTTTTTTGAAATTGAATTGATAATTGAATAATTTTGTATTAAATTTATTCATTTTTAAGTTATAAATTTCTAATATATTATGATAGATATCAAACTTTTAAACGTGTGTTAATCCATAATATTAAAATCATAATGTATTCCTGCCATCTACCCACCAATATAAGGAGATTCAGCTTCGAGGGTGGGTTAAATTGCAACTAGAAGGCCTGACCGCATCCCACGGAATGGCACAAAAGTCTTTTATATTATTAATTAAAAAAGACATACGTGAGTAATTATTATGTATTTAGTTGGGCTTGCATTTTTTAATTATGGGAGAGAATTGGGTTAAAGGTCTTAGCGTTTATGTTGGGCTGTAGTATATGGCTAATCTATCTATCTATACATAATATTATGACAATTCAAAAGTAATTGTTTGAAACCTAAGCATTTGGAGAGTTCACAAATTGCCAAGGTGGACAATATTTTTACAAAAAAAAAATTAGTTATTGATATATTTATGAAGCTATCTCTCTCTTCATTTAATATTTCATTTTCTTTTATCCAATTTTTTTTTATTTTTGCATTATATCAATGTACACAATAATACGTAATGTATGATGAGTGACATATATTACATTTTCTATTTCTAACTTTTGTTAATATTTATTTTTCTTTTACCCTATAATTCCTTTATGTGTTTGTTTTGCTTTTGCATTGTATCGATCTACACAACAATAGACTAATGTATTTGAGTAACACATGTAACTTCTTTTAACCCAAAAATATCTTATTTAAGCTTACTAAGTAAACTTTGTACTCATTTTTACTGAAATTTAAAAATATGTTACATTTTGATGAACAATTTATACAAACACACATATATAATAATATTTTATCACGACAAAATAACGATAGAAAGAGAGAAAACAAGAAATGTTTGAATAGAAACTTGGCCAAGCAATAATAGCTATTTCTTAAAAAAAATCTATTCATCCGGATTAAGTGAATATATATTTACACAATGTATCCTAAGTTCAAATTCCTAATAATTTGCTCTAGATCATGTTAATTAAGCAAACTATATTGAAGTCTTACGTCATATGTTAAGAAATTTAATTTTCAGACTTGGAGTTATTAAATGTCAAAGATAAATCATAGTTTTCAAAGTGACTTCGATATGATTGTTGATGAACTTGACTTCATATCCTAGGATGAGATACGGGATAATTTAAAAAATGATACATGTGAAAGTTAGAGTAATCTTTGTTAAGGATGTACGTTAAACATCATGTTTCATCAACCACTAACTTATGCACTAATCAAATAAAGGTTAAAATTTTTCATTTAATATTTGAATTTCTTGATAAACAAAACTAAATTCGACAATTGAGGCAATGAATAAACATGACTGTGTTACTTGAGATATGTAAACAAAAAACCTTTATAGTTACAAGAGTCTAAACGGATGACTGGGTTAAAATGAATAATCTTTAATAGTGAAGAATTCAGTAAGACAATTGTAGAAGTCATTTGGTTATATGTTTGTGAGCATGTGATTCAATACCAAAAATTTTTTGTAAAAAAAAGACATTTATGATATCAAAGTCTCTGAACAAACACAATAGATAGATAAATTTTAACGACTGCACATTCAAACATTTAGAAAATTATACATTAAGGATCATGTTAAGAAGAGAACCATCGATTATATATGTAAATGTATTGTATTGAGATTCTAAACCAACAACTAGAAAACAACCATGGGTTAAGGATTGGTCCAAACATAAAAAAAAATTAGCAATTGATACGGATTGTATAAGATACTAAATTTAAGTGTCTCGAAGACAAATGTTGGCAGAAGATCCTTTACCAATACTTCATGAACATCCACAATGAAAATGAGTGAGGATTATTCTTTGTATCAAGTTCCACTTGGGATAAACTAAATGTATCCAGTATTCAAGTATCTTTATCTAATAATTCGAACTATTATCAATTGGTTGAGAGTTCGTCCAAACTCGAGAATCACGACTGGTATATTTTGTATAAGATAATAAAATTGAGAGTCTTGGATGACAAATATTGATATACAATTTTAAATGGGACGTGATGAACTTTCACGCCATGATTAGAGAATCAAATCATTATGAGCGAGTGTGATAACTATAAGTATTAAGATTTTTCAAAAATTTAAACATATAGATAAACTAATTAATATAAATAAATAAAAATTCTCCGGCCAACGGGCCGGGTAAAAAACTAGTATTTTACTACCACAATTCCGCCTCAAACAAGTACACTATTCAACACTCTTTCGAACTTTATATACTCATTCTAATTTCTAATAGTAGATGAGAAATTTTAGATTGCTCATGAAAAAAGAAAAAACCTAACACATAACTAATTACCGTACAAATTAACTAAAACTAATGGTTCTTCTTTCTTCTTTAATTGACTCGTGGTTCGACCGCTTATGTCATGATTCCAGGTCACCAGGAACGAAATTGAGCCGCCATTTAGCGACCCGGAGCCCAAAGGCCCATACTTCGACTTCCACATCTCGTGCTTTGTTTCGTCCGCCAACAGCTTTGGTTTGATCGTCAATGGCTGCTACGAGATGGAACCGTTTTTCGTTGACCATTGGAACCGCCACGCGCTGCCTAAGGCATGGTGCGTAGGACCCTTTTGCCTTGCCGAGCCTGATAACATGTCAAGTAGTAGCAACGTCACCAATGGTCCAATAGTGGTCCAACCCAACAACAAAGCACCAGCGTGGTGGATGAAGTGGTTGGACCGAAAGCTCGAGCAAGGAGTCCCGATCCTCTATGTGGCATTCGGGTCCCAAGCCGAGATATCCTCTGACCAAGTCAAGGAGATCGCCCGGGGGTTGGAAGACTCCGGGGTGAGCTTCTTGTGGGTGATAAAGGATCACGATTTGGAACTCGGGGAGGACCGGTTCGAGGATCGAGGGGTGGTGGTTCGAGAGTGGGTTGACCAGCGGGAGATACTAACCCACCCGAGCGTCCAAGGGTTCATGAGCCACTGCGGGCTGAACTCCACAATGGAGGCGATCTCTGCTGGGGTTCCGATTCTGGCGTGGCCTATGATGGCCGAGCAGCCGTTGAATGCTCGAATGGTGGCCGAGGAGATAAAGGTGGGACTTCGAGTCGAGACGTGTGATGGGTCGGTCAAAGGGTTCGTGACTCGAGTAGGGCTGAGTAAGATGGTCAAAGAGTTAATGGAAGGAGAGAGAGGAAAAGAGGCAAGGAAGAGGACTAAGGAGTATGGGGAAATTACTAGAAAGGCCATGGAAGAAGGAGCCGGTTCTTCTTGGAGGAATTTGGGTTTATTGATTGATGAAATTTGCGGGAGGAAGGAGGCATAAATATGGATTATCTGCCAATTATGATATACTGTAAATTTGGGTTTATTGTTTGTATTTAACATTTGAAAATAATTAGAGCATGCATGTAACATTGCACAATTTCTTTGTATGCACTACTGTTATTTGTTGTAGTTAACTTCATTTAAAATGTGTTTGTGTTTTACGATTGATCGATATGGTCATATAAAATAATTTGTTATTATGGAATTATATATAGATAACTCCTTGACTTAATTTGTCCAACAGAAATACAGAATCAATTTTGATATTGACAAACTAACATATAAACTGTGTGTGCCCCCATTAACTTTGCTCATGCTAATCAAATCTAACACTCATTAACATTGAAGGTTAGTATATATTCTACATAACATCTCTCTTTCATTTTAGTATCGGGCAAGGATGTATACGGTTAATTAATCAGGGAGTTTAAATTTTATTTCCCACTCTCTTATCAAATCCAACCCTCCCAACTTTTACTCTTTGCGTGGATTTAGTCATCATATAATGAAACGATGTTGATGGCAACTTTACTTAAATAATTAACAATAGGGGTATTGAGATTTGAGTCCAAATCCTAGGATATGGTCATGATACATGTGGTTTCTGTGAAGGCAGAGATCATGCAAAGATTTTTTGAGAGTGTTGTCATGTTGATGTCGTATTCAAAGTGAATTAATTAATACAACATCAAATAAATATAGGATGTTTCTATAATGTATATTCCTTTAATTATTTGTGTATATTGTTTATGCACCCAGTTTTATAATAATTATTTTTAACTATCCAAAATACTGTAAAATCTCGAAGTGATTTTAAATTTTACTTGTACAAAAATGAACAAGGCAACTTGTGAATTTGTATCAAAATTATTTACGATTTTTTGGTTCTTAAGTAAATCAAAATTAAGCTTGTTCCATATAATTTCTGAAATTGATTACGTTGATTATTATAAGGACAAATTTATGAGTCATAATGCATAAAGAAGCTATATTTTATAATTCTATATTATATAAATCACATTAAACAAATAATTTCGACAACTAAAGTTTGAAAGAGAATGATTAAAGTGTACATAATATATACGCGTTAGACCCACATTCATTTATCTCGTACCAAAAAATGAAGTGTTAGGCTCTCATGTTATGAGTATTAGCCTTATTATGAGGCTACCAAGGAAACAAAAATTTATAAGGCCCTTTGTCAATTAATATGAGTACTATACTCTTTGGTTGATTTTAATTTTTAACCTCTTAATGAACAATGTCACCATTATTATTAAAAAAAAATATGGGAAAGACGAAATTTGATGTCACTTTCATTTCATTGTTGTCTATCATTTCTTTTTATAAGTGATATAGATTATAGAATTTGAAATCGGATGATTCAAACATGGATACAAAATCAATGGTATTACCATTGAACGAAATCCCTATTCGTTTGTAACCTGTTTTCTTGGAATTCAACAAATTACTTGTTAATGCAATTTTAGATAGAAGATTACTAAACCTCAACCTTATATCTTCTGACTATAAATAGAATACATTTTTATTTAGACAGAAGATTACTAACTAAATCTTAACCTTATATATTTTTCAAGCATGCAATTTTATTTGGTCTGGGGTCCAAGACAAGAATAAGCTTCATCTCATTCGGTGGGACAGTTGTAAGGCTTCCAAAAGCAGAGGCGGGCTGGGTATTCTCGATCTCAAATGTATGAATTCTGCTCTCCTTGCAAAATGGTTCTGGAAATATGCTGTTGATCAGTCCGCGTGGTGGCGTATGATGATTGACTGCAAGTTCCCTCCCTCCCTCTCTGGTTGGAGGCCCGGTTCGAGTGGCGGTCCCATTGGTTGTTCCTTGTGGAAGAGTATTTTAAAAGAAGAAAACCTGTTCTGGAATTATGCTTCTATTAATCCAGGTGGAGGCGGTTGGGTTTCATTTTGGAACGACTGTTGGATACCGAAAATGATTCTGAAGGATTCCTTTCCCAGGGTTGCGGCGGCCTCCTCAAACCTTGACGTCTGGGTATCTGAAGTTATATCCTTTGATAATGAGAGTGTGGGGTGGGAGTTACCTTTAGCTTATTCTTTAAGGGGAGGGGCAGACCGCGAGAGAGAGAGTCTTATTCGTTCCTTATCACTGTTACCTTCTGATCTGATTACTGCAGGACCTGCCACAATTAATTGGAGCCTCTGCCCAAAAGGTTTCTCGGTGAATTCCATGTACCAAGCCCTCAACCAGGAGAGATTTCCGGGCAGCGACAGTTTCCCGTTCAGAACCGTGTGGCGATCCGAGGTTCCAATGAAGGTGAAAGCCTTTCTCTGGCTTGTCACGCATGAGCGCATCCTTACGCATGACAACTTAAAGAGGAGAGGTTGGAATCTGGCCAGCAGATGTGCTCTCTGCAACTCGGAGGAGGAGAACATCGACCACCTGTTCCGTCATTGCTCCTTCTCTAGCAAAATTTGGTCCATCCTCCAGCTGATGATTGAGTTCCACGGACCCTTTCCCGACCGTTTCGTGTTGCTCATCAGGTGTTGGAGTCGTTGCAGCCAAACCCAATGGAAGAATGACTTTGCATCTGGTCTCTTACATGCCTTCTCCTGGGAGATATGGAAGGAGAGGAATGCTAGGATTTTCCACGATAAATCGTCCCATTGGCGCGTGATCCTTCATAAGATTTGCAGAGTTCTTTTGAGTTGGGTTAGGGCAGCTGGAATTTTGAATGATGATCGCCGGACAGAGTGGCTTGCTCTTATGCATCAGTGTTGCCCGCTCCCTTTCGTTGGAAATTCTAGTCTTGAAGCTGGTTCCTAGGCCTTCCGGTTGCCGGCGTGTTGGGAGTGCTGGTTTCTTCTGTCTTCTTTCTTGTCCTTTTTGCTTCCCCTTCCTGCAGAAGCGGTCTGGTCCGCTGAGCAGGTTTTGGTTTTTGTTGCTTTCGGATCAATTCTCTTGATCCTCCTTGTATCAAACTCTTCGTTTCTTTTAATTTTTAATCATCACCTTTATCAAAAAAAAATATATTTTTCAAGCAAGTCCAGTATGTCAATGACCTTAACTCTATTAGTATTACGTTAGGTGTGCAATAAAACCGGCCTTTTCCATTTCTAGGCCTACGATTGAGATTAAGTTCCTGTTTAGTTAGGTTCATTGTTTAGGTTCATTTGGAACATCAGGATTACACGAAAAGACCAAACTATTAGGCAACGCATTTTGGTAGGAAAGCATATATTTATATAACTTGTTACCAATAAAGAAAGGAAAGGAAGTATACACTACAAGTCTACAACTGCAGAGGCGCCAAAAGGGAGGAAGTGCTTCTCATTTTCAATTTTTTTTTATAAAGACAATTGATATATGTTGCTCAATGATTTTATACACCAACTAGTTGAAAATCATTGAGCACGTATTGACGCTATTGACCCTACAGCATTATTCATAACACTTGTCTACGTATACACCTCTCGCTGGTCTGTTACTTAACCTTCAATTGGAAGGAAGAAGCGATATTTACAAAGCGCTTGTCTCTCTATATATACACCACTCACTTCCCTAACAAATTTCAGTCGGTATTACTACAGCACAGACCAAACCGCTTTCCTTTCACATCCTTCACAAACCACAATCATGGGTACGGAGGTAGTTGCAGCGCCAGCCGCCGCCGCCGAAGTCATTCCTGCCGGCGGCACCGTTTGTCACGCCGTGCTTTTCCCCTTCATGTCAAAAGGACACACAATCCCCATCCTCCACCTCGCCCGCCTCCTTCTCCGCCGCCAAATCACACTCACCATCTTCACCACCCCCGCCAACCGCCCCTTCATCGCCGCTTCACTCCCCGCCGGCGCCGCCGCTTCCATCGTGGAGCTCCCCTTCCCACAAGACATCCCGGAAATCCCCGCCGGCGTCGAGAGCACCGACAAGCTCCCTTCCGTCGACTCCCACTTCCCCAACTTCGCCCTCGCCACGGAGCGCATCCGTCCCGACTTCGAATCGGCGCTCGAAAATCTCCGACCGCGGCCGAGCTTCATGGTCTCCGACGGCTTCCTCTGGTGGACCCAGGACTCCGCCGAGAAGTTCGGGATCCCGCGGCTGGTCTTCTACGGGATGTCGAATCACTCCGGCAGCGTGTCTAGAGCCGTGGCCGTCGACCGGCTCCTGTTCGGCCCCGAGTCGGCAGACGAGATGATCTCAGTGACTCAGTTCCCGGGGGTCAGAGTTTGCAAGAGCGACTTCGACGACTGGGCCCGATCGCCCGACCCGAAAGGCCCCCACTTCGATTTCGTTATGAAATCGGTTGTCGCTTCCTCGCGAAGCTACGGTTCCGTGATGAATAGCTTCTACGAGTTCGAACCGGTTTTCGTGGATCATCTGAACGGTCTCGGGACACAGAAGTACTACTCCGTGGGCCCTCTTTGCCTGGCTGACGTGGATGACGACAACTGCGGGAAAGAAGCGGTATTAGCCGCTGAGTCGAAGCCGGCTTGGATTCAGTGGCTGGACGAGAAGCTGGCTGAGGGGAAGTCGGTATTGTACGTAGCGTTTGGGTCCCAAGCGGAGATATCGGAGGAACAATTGGAGGAGATAGCGTGTGGGTTGGAAGAGTCAGAAGTGGATTTCTTGTGGGTGATAAGAAAGGGAGGCGGTGGGTTGGAGGAGCGAGTGAAGGGGAGAGGGATGGTAGTGGGAGAATGGGTGGACCAGAGGGGGATACTGGGCCACGCCTGCGTGCAAGGGTTTTTGAGTCATTGTGGTTGGAATTCGGTGATGGAGAGTGTCTGCGCTGGAGTGCCGATGTTGGCGTGGCCGATGATGGCGGAGCAGCCGTTGAATGCGAGGATGGTGGCGGAGAAGGTGAAGATGGGGATCAGAGTGGAAGGTTCGGGGAGAACGGGGTTTGTCCAGCGCGGAGCTTTGGAGAAGGCGGTGAGGAAGTTGATGAACGGTGTGGAGGGGATGGAAGTGAGAAGGAACGCGAAGGAGTACGCAGAGAAGGCTAGGAAAGCTATGGAGGAAGGCAGCGGCTCGTCGTGGAAAAGATTGAACTTGTTAATTCACGACTTGTGCAGCAAGGCAAAAATTGAATACTAGTAACTATTTTGCTTATTGTTTAATTTCCACCATCAAATCAGCAACTATCATAAATAAATGAGCTTTTATGAGCCCTCATTGTGTTGGTCAAATTGTAACCCCACCGGGGGTTTGATAGAAAAGAATATGCTCATTATTTTCTTTTGGTTTGTGTACATATCATAAATATTTAAAAAAATATAAAAAAATAATAAGGTAATTTTGGATTTTAAATTCTAAATCCTAAATCCTTAGATCCATGATCAAAACATCTCAACAAACAAAGAATTGTCTTAAATCCATAATTTTTCAAAGTCTTAATAAATTTTTAGATTTTTAAATCACAAATCTTCATTTTTACATCCATGAAGCAAATAATGATGCCTTACTCGGTCATTCACTAAGTCACTAGTTGTTTTATTTTCCTTCTTTCTATCAAGCCCCTGTTTAGTTATACCTTGCACATTAAAGAAGTCTAGTTGGCCAAAGCACAAACATAGTACCAGTGGCGGAGCCAGAATTTCAAAGTACATGTGTCATCTTTCTATAATATAAATAAATAATTATTTAATGAATATAATTAAAATCTATAATATATAAATAATTATAATGAAGAAAAATTAGACTAGCACAATCATTATTTTCATAAGAAACCATGATGCATTTTCACATTCTCAATGTATCCAACTAAGCAATTATTAGCAAATTGGTCGCAATTCAATTTTGAAACTTATTTTTAATATTGCGCAAAGCTGAAAATGTTCTTTCTACACTTGCAGTAGCAACGGGTAGTCGAAAATAACTTCTAATTTGTGATGTTTTCATTTCAACAATAGAATCGGTATGGAACTATAAATTATAATTTTAACTAATTAATAGTAAAAATAACCCATGGAACAAAGTTAGTTAACGTTTTAGGTTCTATAAACTATTTTGCCGAGTAATTCTCCCGATAAATCAGCAACTCGTATAAATAATGAGCTTTTATGCTAGGGAAAGAGGGTCCCACCAAAGTAACGTCCACAACCACGGATGTGAACTCGAAATCATACTTTGATACCCTTTATTGAGGCCAAATGGTTCAATTAGAACAATATCTTCTGTTTTCAGCCAAACCCACAAGAACTTACTTTTGAATTGCTTCGGCCAAAATTCCTCGCACTTATGAGTTTAATAGACACTAATATATAAGAATATCTTCCCTTAGCACCCTAACACAATCCAATCAATTTTTATATTTGATCTTCGCGAGATGTCTTCCACTTTTTTTCTGGTCAAAGATAGCTTCTACATTAATGAAACAAAATGGTACTTCAAAATGTCCACCATATATAATAGCAATTAATCCATGCGGAGCACCTCATGCCCATAGCCAAGAATTAAGCTCAACTCGCCAAGTAGAACCTCGCAGTCGGATCTCACAATGCAACGGGATTCCATATTCTTAATTAACCTAGTATATGATGGTTCCATCTTCCAAGAGAATAGAGAGTTTTTGTCACACCCATTAATTTTTTTTGTTCTTTTGTAGTGTAGAATCTTCTTCATGATCAAGAAGACCAGTCAAAGCACAAACATAGTACTGATCATATATAGTCGAACCAGCTGTGGGGAGTTATTAATTATATGCTTGGAAACAGGAATATTTGGCCGAACGGTCGAGTATATATAAAGCCAGCTAGCTAGCTAGCTAGGAAGTAAATATTACTAAGAATCATCAGAGAAATTAAATGAGCTCATCGTCAGGGAATAGTTATAGTAGTCATCGTCATGAGGTGATGACGACGATGATGATCGTGACGGTGGTGGCGGTCTTGTCCGTGATGTCTCCCGGAGTTCCTACGACGTCGGCTGTCGTAGAAGGGATTTGCGACGAGGAGTCGTTCCCCATCGGCGATCAGAGGATCCTTTGTGTATCCATGTTGCTGACTAACATGGTTGGGCTGGATTTCCCGGTGGAGAAGGGTGGATGGTACACGAGCGAGGACTGCGCCAGAAACACGACTCTCTACGGTTACCGGACGGTCGGTGAGGGCGCGAGTGGGTGTATGTACGAAGTCCAGGATTACCTCGAGTACCAGAACTGCCGCTACCGCATCGGAGGTCAAGCATGGGACACCGGCTGTTACATGAGGTTTGAGGTGTACCCCTTTGAAATCTGATCAAACGTCTAAACCACGAATAAAACAGGAATATGTGGATCGATAAGCTTATATGACTTATGATTTAGCCATTAGAATTTAAAGCATAATATTATGTGTTAAATTCCGGTTAAATTCCAATTAAGTCATAGTCTATATGATATGCGTATAAATTCCCCAATGTTGTCATAAAAAGTACTATATATATATATATATACTTTTTCTGGTTTTGGTCCATAATAAGTTTGGTGTGACGCATTGTAAAGGTGTTCTTTCTAGTTGGTTTATTATCTTCCTGTAATAAAACTCATGTAACGGTCTGCAACTGCAGCCTTATGAATAAGAAAATAAGAGAAAGTTGATCGAGAAGTTTTATCCAAATAATTGGTGATCCTCATGACGGGTTAATTGTCTCATGGATTCACCGATTCGGAAAAAAAGGAATACTATATTCGAACTGCGTGGAGCAAATTTGAATTCAAGCAACATAAGTGCGAAATGAGGCTGGTAGTGATCGAAGAAGGCGTTGACTTGATTGGTAGTACATAATTGCATAGTTGCTAAGATATTATCAACTCCTACACTAATCGAATATCGAGATTAGCATTTCATTTTGGTATCGATCGGTTCGACGTTGAAATTATGTTCTTTATAATGTATTTTTCAGCAAATCCAACGACCAATCTTATTTTCCTTCATACTAGAATTTACACTTAGCAAACTTGTCTATAGATGCATATAACTAGAAGTAATTGTTATATGGGAGCGGATAGAGTACAAAATACATATATTAAAAATATGAATTTCTAACAGGCGATATGACGGGGGAAAACACACTGATAAAGAAAGGATTCAAAAGGGGCCGGTGGGAATGCTAATTTTTTTTTTTTTTTTTTTGCTGATAGCATGTGTAACATCCCGAATCTCTTCCCGATGAAGATATTGTCTGCTTTGTATCTCGAACAACACGGTTTTTGCTTTGGAATTCCCATAAAGTTAACCATCCTTGTTGTACCCCACACTGAGCACGTTTAATTAAGTACTTTAGAGTTCTCACAAAAACTCTTCCATTTCATCCCAAAACAAATCTTGTACCATGTATCTCTCCCGTATATTGCCAATGTGAGATTTGCCTAAAGTGTTACAGTCTGTCACGAATCTCAGAGGAGAGAGGGAAAAAATTTTGACCAGTCAAATATTGTATTTTCTGATCATCCAATTTTCTTAATTGGGTCATATTTCGTTCGTTTTAACTCGGAATTTTAAAAATTTGCACACAAATATCGCATTAATGAAGATCTACAGAGTGATATCCATTTTGTTATGTTTTGATAAAGAAAAAAATTGGTTATCCATTTTGCACGTCGCATTAGTGGTTTAGAGTTCAGTGGTTAACCGTTACAAAACCATTGATTAACCGTTAATAGAACCGTTCATGATATGTAACATACAAAACTTGTATATTATACTAATTTAAGAATTAAGTTATGAGTTATCATTAATCATAAACAATTTTAAATTCATATCATCACCAAAATATCTAATAAATCATTCAAACCGTCTCACAAAAGAAATCATAATTTTTTAATTCAAATTAAAAATAACGGTGCAGTCGATAGTCGACCACGTAAATTCGACAAAAAGGTTGGAAAATGAGAAGAGAAATCAGATATAAAATTAATAATTATGGTTTCATGGTCTAAGTTTATGTTAAAAGTATTTTTTAAAAAAATATTTGTGGTTAAAATAGTGAACCAGTGGACCAGTTAAACAGTGGTAGTTCATATGATTTTATGTTGAACCGTGAAAAATCGTTTGGTCCATCAATAACCATCCAAACAATGAACCGAACTGCTATCATAACTAGTTTGGCGATTCTAATGGTCCAGCCATTGAACCGGTTATTCTTATAACAAGGAGTCTAACTAGTCGAAAAAAATCAAAATAAAAAATATGAATAGATATTGTAAGAAATTAAGATAAAATAAGCTAGAAACCTTTAGGCTTGGCGATTGAAGTGTCTGTGTTTATTGGTCGGGGGAACAGGGCAAGATGGAGTGCGAGTTCCGCGGTGAACAGCCGGAGGAAGATGGTGGCCTGCGGCTAGGGCTGCAAATGAGCCGAGTCGAGTCGAGTTTTTCTCAGCTTGAGCTCGGCTCGTTAACAAATGAGTCGAGTTCGAGCTCAGCTCGTTTATTAACGAGCCGAGTCGAGTCGAGTTGTGAGCTAGCTTGCTTAATAAAATCTTGACTCATATTTGATATATTCGTTTGTATGTAATACATGATACATGTGATTAATGCCAAGATGAAGAAAATAATAATAATAGTTAAGTGTTCAATATTAACTAATTTTATGTTATACTTTGTGGTATCAAATTATTTAGTTAATAAATTGTAATTTGTGAAAATTATGTTATTTCACAGTATCGAAGCAATCTATGATACATAATTGCTTTTTAAAATTAAATAAAACATATTTGCTCACATAATATACGTGTTAAACTTCATATAGAGTGAGATATATAATTTAACAATCCTATGAATTATCAAAATCAAACTCATATAGATCGATTCGCTCATAACTCGGTAATCGAGTTGGCTCTCTAGCCACAATCTTGAGAGTTGAGACATCTCATGAGCTCTTAACGATCCAGCTCAAGAGTTGAGCTCAACAAGTCACCGAGTCGAGCTAGCTCGCGAGCTGCAAAAGGCTCAGCTCAAACTCGGCTCATTAGTAAACGAGCCAAGTTTCGAACGAGCTTTTCCCGAGTCGAACGTCGAGCCGCTCGCGAATAGCTCGGCTCATTTGCAGCCCTACCTGCAGCTCCCAAGGGGTGGAAATAATATTCAACTATTTTTTATATCTTGTATAGTAAGG